GACAAGTACCTGGCCAACTGACTGGAAGAGATCCGTGTTTGTGCTCATTCCAAAGACAGGTGATTCAATGGAATGTGGAAATCATTGGACAATAAATATCACTGATATTTCATGCGAGTAAAGTTTTACCAAACATAATACAAAAACGGCTGTAACTATACATTGACAGAGAATTTCCAGAGGTTCATGTCGGATTCAGAAGAGGATGTGGAATGAGGGATATAGTTGCTGACGTCAGATGGATCTTGGCTGAAAGCACAGAATACCAGAAAGATATTTACTTGTGCTCTATTGACTATGCAAAGGCTTTCGATTGTGTGGATCATGATAAGCTATGGACAACAATGGAGAGAATGAGTATTCCAGAACACTTAATTTTACTCATAAGGGCCCTGTACATAGATCAAGAGGCAGTTGTTTGAACAGAATTAGGCAACACTGAATGGTTTTAAATTAGGAAAGGTGTGCGACAGGGTTGTATTCTTTCACCATACTTGTTCAATCTGTATGCTGAGCAAATAATTCAATAAACTGAATTATACGAAAAAAGACATGGCATCAAGATTGGAGGCAGACTCATCAACAACCTGCGATATGCCAATGATACAAACTTGCTTGTTGAAAGCAAAGAGGACTTAAAATACTTGCTCATGAACATCAAAGACGACAGCCTTCGGTATGGCTTGCACTTCAATGTAAAGAAAACAAAAATTCTCACTACTGGACCAATAAACAATATCACAATAAATGGATAAAAGATTGAAGTTCTCAAAGACTTCATTTTGTTCTGATCAACAATCAACACTCATGGAAGCAGCAGTCAAGAAATCAAACGATGTATTGCATTGGGCAAATCTGCTGCACAGACCTCTTTAAAGTGTTAAAGAGCAAAGATGTCAGCTTGAGGACTAAAGTAAGCCTCACCCAAGCCATGGTATTTTCAATAACCTCACATACATGCGAAAGTCAGACAGTGAATAAGAAAGATCATAGAACTGATACACTTGAGCTGTGGTGCTGGAGGAGAATATTAAAAGTACTACGGACTTCCGAAAGAACAAACCAACCCATGTTGGAAGAAATATAGCCAGAATGCTCCCTGGAAGTCAGGATGGGCAAACTTCATCTCTCATACTTTGGACATGTTATCAGTAGGGACCAGTCCCTAGAGAAGGATATGATGTTTGATAAAGTGGAGGGTCAGAGAAAAAGAGGAAGACTCCCAATGAGATGGATTGGCACAGTGGCAGCAGCAATGGGCTCAGACGTTAACAACGATTGTGAGGTTGACCTAGTACCTGGCAGTGTTTCTTTTGTGCATAGGGTCACTATGAGTTGGTACCGACTCGTTGGCACATAACAACATCAACAAGTAGAATGGCTAGCAACAGAATACTGCCCATAGAATAAAATCAAAGAACTGCTCTCCAAAGAAAATGAATCTGTCTGAGAAGAATTCCTAGTGAAGAGGTGATAAGGATTTGCAAGGGAAGAATATTAGAGCTTCAGGTATCAAAGCATCCTGTCTTCCAAATAACCTTTTCTGGGGGGACACTGTGGGGTTCAAAGTCTGTATGTTTCTTATTTATGCACTTAATAAGGAAATTAGCCTACTCACTTATTTTGCCTCCCCTTAATCTTAGTTAGCTCTACCACCTAAAAGAAGAGCTTATTGAGAACACAGACCGACACAGTAATAAAATAATCCTTTAATCAGACAACCATTAACCCAAAAGCAATGGGATCATGGTGGTCCTGAAGCAGAGGTTGGGTGATCAGAAGCCAACTACGTATGTGCAGACCACCATTAACAAGCTTCACATTCTGCAGCATCCAGCACACAATCCACAGGAGCAAGTACAACCCTAGTCACTGTCCTCAGATCTGAAGTTTCCTCCTTAGCAGTCAGAATCCTGTGGTGGTGAAGAGGAAGTGGATCCCACCGCTCCTACCAAGAGCTCCTGGGGGCCCCCCCTCCCACTACCAGAGCAGTAAAGAATACTTCTCCACTAAAAAAATTAAATGAAATAGATGGCTTTTGGTTATGAAAATGTGAATACATTTTCTAATGTTAAATTCCCAGGTATTTTTACAGTCAGCAAAGGAGAAAATACTGGTGACTAGTGGAGTATTTGTACTGTAATATTTTTAAACGGGAAGCAAAAAATTAATATGTATTAAAAATTGTTAAAGCTTCAAATAAATACACAAAAACGCTAACAGAAATAGTTACAGATGATGAGATAATGAATATTTGTTTTGTTTATATGTACTTTATAAATTTCTATACCATATAGTATTTTTATAATAAAAGTATAGTTAAAACGGAATTATTATCTCAGCAACATGTGGTTCCACAGATGAAGTAAAATCTAAAAGTAGTGAGCAGCTACTTTCCACAGTTTTCTAGAAAAGTTATCTCCTTAGAAAAGTCTGGGTAGGCTCTATGAAGAAGCAACCACACTTGTTAAGGATCAGAAGAGCGGTCTGGAAAAGAGTAAGAAAGTAACATCCATGTGGTTGATATCTGGAGGGACTTAACAGTAACCAACAGGGCTCCAATGCTTTATGATCACAGGGACATGGAGGGCATATGTGGGAAGAGTGAGGTATTCCCCAAAGACCCTAAACATAAGGGGAGAAAATGGCTTACAGAATTAAAACCATACACTCACATCATCCAACAGGAAGAAAGATGAGAGCCATCTGAAAAGAAGGAGAAGTTTCCCATTTGTCATCTAAACACACCCAACCACAAGAGGCACAGATCAGTCTAAACACCACCAGAAGAGGAAGTCCCATCTATAAGGTAAGTAAGGAGAGCAGAGGGGCCAAACCAAGAAATGGTCATCTAAGAACTGTCCAGGGAACAGAGAATTTGAGCATCCTAGCTCAGAGACATGAACCACATATCCCAGTAGCAGGTTATCGGCTCTTGATATGATCATATAATCAACTCTCCTACGTATGATTCCAGATTAGTCAGAGACTACCTGGGTTAAGTCCTGGCCCTACTGCTTATTGGTATATGACACTAAGACAATTATAAAATATCTAGTGCAGTTCTGTATCTGGAAAATGAGACTAATATATATTTATATATACACATATCAATTATCTAGTACAATGTTCAACAACATTAGTCAGCAAGGTGAGGGACCAAATCCAGGTTGTGGTGAATTTACCAAGCTCAATTCCACCTGAAGCCAGCTATCCAAGCTTTCCCAGCAATAGCCAGATCAGTCTCTATGCGTACTTTTATTTCCTAAGGGGTAACCTAGGAATAAGGAGAAAGAATAGGGCTTATGATACAGAAAGGAAAACGAGTGTCATAGGGTAGGGTCAATAAAGATTGATGGCTACTGGATGGTAGTTCTGTTGCCACAAGAGTTCAGAGTACATAAGGTAGGTCAAAGGGAAGCAGTAAGTAAAGACAACTGAAGCATAACTTCAGTTCTACCAGGATACTAAAATGATTGAAATACGCAAATCGGAAGTACACAAGAAAGTGATGTAGCAAGAGATGTTATCAGTATATTTATATCATACACATAAAAGTTTCACAGAAATTTACCCATTCTCCATAATTTTTATAATTCAAGGTTCTTCACAATCCTGTCCAACATTATCCATTATTTACCTAATGGATAAGTAATTAATTGACTAAGGTAAGTAATCAGGTTAGGTCCTTCAAGTCCTGCCTCTACTATTGTCTGTACCTGGGAAAATTGTGTACCTGGGAAAATCGGCTACCCTCTACTTTCTGCTAATCTATACTCTACCACCCATTCTCTAAGGTTCTGGACAAGAGCCCCATTATCTAAAAGTCTTACCTGACACGACAATCACAGCACACAGTCTCTGCTTTCTTTGATACTTTATACATATCGTTTATGCTACTTATGGACCTTATCAGCCAAAGGCCAGACTTTACACAGGAAACAATACAGGGTCTAGAGTCTTAAAGACCTGAACTAAATTCCAGCATCAACACTTTCATAGCTATGCAATCCTGGGAATGTCACTGAACCTTTCTATCGGTTTACTAACCTATAAAATGGATGACAAAACCTGCTGAGAAGTACTGCTGGACACTGGGTTTTACATATTAAATATATGAAATATTTCATAAATGGTGAACTATCAACAGTAACCTTGATAAAATATATATAACATCTTCATCATTATTCATGTGTAAATCTTACAGTAAAATGTATCTTAGAGACTACTAGGATAAGACTGTTATCAAGCACCAAGCCATGCATATGCCAAATACATATTAGATCCTATTTTAATTTCCATAATTTCTTTTCTTTTCTCTTTTTTTGTTGCACTTGGGAAGCACAAGAGAACTAAAGTTTATTTCAGTTGGTCTCAACAGACATATTATCCTACATTTAGTTACATAAATAACTGTCTTTCCTTAAAAGCCAAAACTGAATCATCAAATTATAACCTTTTCACCACAAATGAAGTCGAAGACAAAAACCCCTTACCTTAACTGTTACATTTCTTGGGACAGTGAAATCTGAATTACTAAGGATGTCACAACAGTTTTCCATTTCTCTCAGGGTTAGCTACTAGGGGTGACAACTCAAAACCAAAATGCTTCACACTTGCTGTTTCTACCGCAGCAGTTACTCTGTAATACTTGTGGCAATTCATTCAATTTTAAGTACTTTTATAGGTTTGCTCTCCAATGTAACACCTTAGAGACTGATGTTAACGGGTCCTTCCCTCAGTCTCAACCAGGGAGAGACACTTTACTAAAGAGAGCCAACACGTCACTATGGCAGTTAGCATCACAGAAAACTGGGAACAGTGATTTCTGTGCTGCAAACGTGTCACATGGTAGCATGTGTGCTAACCATCAAATAAATCTTCTCTCATTTTGGTGGTCAACAGACCTAGTGTTTTAAAGTTAGACAATTAGGCATTTGCAACGACAAGTGATATGACTCAGTTTTCAAATGGTCTAAGAGACTTAGAATGAAGATTACCTCAGAGGGTACATACTGCTCCACAGCTGTAGCAACCGCTGCACAACAAATCCAGAGCAAGACCATTACCGAGAGGACAAGAGTAGTCGTTAAAATCCACCCAGAATTACTGAAAAACAAACAATAAGTCACATTGGAAAGTAATAGTGTAAAATGACTTTTGGTATTTAAATACAATCAGGCTTATGTACTTAGTTTAGTTTAGTCATAAATTTATAGTTTTATGTGTACCATCTTTAAAATTATTAAATAAAAACATACTGGTAGAAGGAAATGTTATAACAGTAACTACTCTGGTAGCAAAGTGGTTACGAATCAGGCTGCTAAAACCAAGGTTAGCAGTTCGAAACTACCAGCTATTCCACGGGAGAAAGATGAGGCTTTCTGCTCCTCTAAAGATTTACAGCCTTGGAAACCGGTGCAGGGTCACTATGAGTCGGAACCAACTCCATGGTAATTAACAACAACTGTATTAAAGTGTTTTACAATTTTAAAAAATCAGGCATACAGTATGGACTTTCTGGTAAACATATAAAATTAAACCAAATTACTACTGGGATGAGCATGATGGCACCATACAATAAACACTGGACTGTAAACCACAAGGTCTGCGGTTCAAGTCCTCCAGCTGCTCAGCAGAAGAAAAATGAGGCTTTCTGCTCCCTTGATGATTTAAAGCCTCAGAAACCCTATACAGGATCACTATAAGTCAGAATCAACTCGAAGGCACTTAATAACAACAATAACTATCAGGGGTATTTTTAAATTATTAAATGTATTAAGACAAATTGTACAATGTTGCACAAATGTCATATATTATTTTGCAAGGTATTATGATGCAACTCACTTTAAGAAAACTCAAATATTCCAAAGAATTAATGTACAAAATAGGTAAATTATACAATGATTATTTTTTACAAAAGGATTCACAGCAGGTTTCAAGAAACCAATTCCCCAGAACACTGAAGATACTTAAACTTTCCACAACTCTGTTGTTGTTGTTGTTAGGTGCCATTGAGTCGGTACCGACTCATAGTGACCTTATGCACAACAGAACGAAACACTGCCTGATCCTGGGCCAACCTCACTACTGTTGCCACGCTTGAGTCCATCGATGCTGCCACTTGGCCAATTCATCTCATTGGGCATCTTCCTCTTTTTCTCTTACCATCCACCTGACCAAACATGATATCCTTCTCCAGCGACTGCTCCCTCCTGACAATATGTCTGAAGTACGAGAGACAAAGTTTGGTCATCTTGGTCTCCAAGGAGCACTCTGGCTGTACTTCTTCCAAAACAGATCTGCTGGTTCTTTTGGCAGCCATGGCACTTTCAATATTCTACTCCAACACCATAACTCAAAAGCATCAATTCTTCCATGGTCTTCCTTATTCATTGTCCAGCTTTCACATCCATATGAAGTTATTGGAAAATACCAAGGCTTGGGTCAGGCGCACCTAAGTCTTCAAGCTGACATCTTTGCTCTTCAACACTTTAAAAAGGTCTTGTGCAGCAGATTTGCCTAATGCAATAAGTTGTTTGATTTCTTGACTGCTGCTTCCATAAGTGTTGATAGTTGATCCAAGAAGAATGAAGTTCTTGACAACTTCAATCTTTTCTCCATTGATAAGAATGCTGTTTACTGGTCCAGTGGTGAGGATTTTTGTTTTCTTTACATTGAGATGTAACCCATACCAAAAGTTGTGCTCTTTGATCTTCATCAGTAAATGTTTTAAGTCCTCTTCACTTTCAGCAACTGTTAATGAGTCTTCCTCCAATCCTGATGCCAAGTTTTTCTTCATATAACCCAGCTTCTTGGATTATTTGCTCAGCATACAGGTTGAATAAGTATGGTGAAACAATACAACCTTGTCGCACACCTTTCTTAATTTTAAACCATTCAGTGTTCCCATGTTCTGTTTGAACAACTGCCTCTTGGTCCAGTACAGATTCCTCATGAGCACAGTAAGTGTTCCAGAATACTCGTACTTCGCAATGTTGTCCATAGCTTGTCGTGATCACCATCAAAAGCCTCTGCGTAGTCAATAAAGCACAGGTAAACATTTTTCTAATATTCTCTGCTTTCAGCCAGGATCCATCAGACATCACAACTCTACAACACCTCAATTTACAAGGGTACATCTGTTTCGTGGGAGAAAGATGAGGCTTTCTGCTCCTGTAAAGATTTACAGCCTTGGAAATCCTGTACAGGGTTGCTGAGTCGGAACCAACTCCACAGCACATAATAATAACAACATCTATTATGAGACACATTCTGTAACCATCACAGAATACCTCAGTGAAGAAATAGTTCTGTTTTCTTATGATTAAATTATCTTAAGATAGAAGAAGAGTCCTGGTGTGGCACTGTAGGGTAAGCAATAGACTGCTAACCATGAGGCTGGTGGTTCACACCCACCAGCTGTTCCTTGGAAACCTTATATAGGGTCACGATGAGTAGGAATCAACTTGACAGCACTAAACAACAAGACCAGTAATGAGAATCAGCAACCTAAGGTTATTTTGTTTTAAATTATAATTGACCTATTGTTTGCCAAATCACAGGTTAAAAAACAGGAAAAACCCCAAGTTATTTTTAAATATTTAAGACTCTAGTTCTGGAAAACTGTGTTGTACAGGTCATCCTTGATTTTCTACCATTGCCTAATAAAAGACTGATGCCCAATGTACCCCATAACCTATTCACTTGAGTCTGCCAACATTTGAACATGCTAAAGAAACAGGGAGATAAACAGTCGTTTATTTCCCAGCAAAAGAGGAGGACTTCAGAATATATACTACTTCTCACATGATGCTTTAAGTATACCAAGTCATTGTTGTTGGTGGTACTGTGTGCGGTGGAGTCAGTTCCGACTCATAGCAACCCTGTATAGGGGTCCCGAGGCTGTAAATCTTTGTGGGAACAGAAAGCCTCACCTTTATCCTGTGGAATGGCTGGTAGTTTCGAACTGCTGACTTGAGGTTAGCAGCCCAACTCGTAACCATTATGCTTCCAGAGCTCCTTATAGAAAGATAATTAAAAAACAAACAAACTTGTAGTATTTTCTTCTACATGTTCTAGCCCTGAGCTGGGTACTAAAGAATTTCTTTCCATAAAATGTAAAAGGATCTGCTTGATATCTTGACTCTGATCGCCCCTACTACAACTAGCAAAAAATTCTACACATCATTTAAGACTTATTTCCTCTGTAAATCCTCCCCTTGTTACCTCCCAGTAGACTTTGGTGCACATACTGTACTCTCTCCTCTATGTGTGTGTGCGCTGAGTGTATGACATACACAACCGTCTTTACTGTGTTGTTTATTACTTACATGTCTGTTTCAATTATAAAAAACACCATAGAGGCAGAAACAGAATAGCTTTCTTTTTAGGTCTTAAGTACCTAAGCCTGACACCTAATTGTTGTTGTTAGGTGCCATAGAGTCAGTTTTGATTCATAATGATCCTATGTACAACAGAAATAAAAACTGCCTAGTTCTGCACCATTCTCACAATTGCTATGCTTCAACACATAGTTGCAGTCACTGTACCAATCAATCTTGTTGGGGGTATCCTTTTATTATTATTATTTTTTTGGCTCTCTACCAAGTATGATGTCTTTCTCCAAAGGCTTGTCCCTCATGACAACATGTTCACAGTAAATGAGACAAGTCTCAGCATCCTCACTTCTAAGGAACATTATGGTTGTAACTCATCCAAGACAGCTTTATTCGGTCTTCTGGTAGCCCATGGTACTCTCAACATTCTTCGACAATACCACAATTCAAATGCATCGATTCTTCTTTAGTCGTCCTTATTCAATGTCCAGCTTTCCACAAGCATATGAGGAGACTGAAAATACCATGGGTCAGGTGCATCTTAGTCCTAAAAGTGACATTTTTGCTTCTGCACACTCTTAAGAAGACTTTTGCAGATTTTGCCAGTGCAATGCAATGTTTGATTTCTTGACTGCTGCTTCCATGGGCATTGATTATGGATTAAAACAAAATTAAATCTTTGAGAATTTAAATCTTTTTCTCTGTTTATCATGATGTTGTTTATTGGTGCACTTGCCAAGATTTCTGCTTTCTTTACACTGAGGTGTGATCCATACTAAAGGCTATAGTCTTTGATCTTCATCAATAAATGCTTTAAGTCCTCTTCGCTTTCAGCATGCAAGGTTGCATCATCTGCATACTGCAGGGAGTTAATGAGTCTTCCTCCAATCCTGATGCCATGTTCCTCTTCATATAGTCTGCCTTACAGATTATTTGTTCAGTATACAGATTGAATAAATATGATGAATGGATACAACCTGATGCACCTCTTTTCTGATTTTAAACCAATGCAGTATACCCTCGTTTTATCTAAATGACTGCCTATTGGTCTATGTACAGGTTCTTCATGAGCACAATTAAGTTTTCTGGAATTTCCATTCTTTGCAATGTTATCCATAATTTGTTATAATCCACAAAGTTGAATGCCTTTCCATATAATTAAAACACAAGTGAACATTTTTCTAGTATTCTCTTTCAGCCAAGATCCATATGATGTCAGCATTGATATATCTCATTCCATGTCCTCTTCTAAGTCTGGTTTGATTTCCTGGCAGCTTCCTATCAATGTTTTGCTGCAAATATTTAATAGTTATCTTCAGTAAATATTTACTTTAAAATGTGACATTGAAGATACTGTTCACTAATTCCACATTCTGTCGGGTCACCGTAACTTGGGATAGCACAAGTATGGATCTCTTCTAGTGGGTTGGCAAGCTGGCTGTCTTCCAAATTTCTTGGCAAAGATTTGTAAGTGTTTCTAGTGCAGCATGAGTTTGTAGAACAATTTCAATTGGTGTTGTGTCAATTTCTGGAGCCTTGTTTTTCACCAATGCCTTTAGTGCATCTTACACTTCTTTCTTTAATACCACTGGCACTTGATCATATGCCATATGCTGAAATGTTTGAACCAATTATTTTTGGTATAGTTACTCTGTGTATTTCTTCCATCTTTTATTGACACTTCCTGCATCATTCAATACTTACCTACGGAATCCTTCAATATTACAAGTTGAGGCTTAAATTTTCCACTTGAGAAATGCTGAGTGTGCT